TGGACAACCACAGTCTCATTATTGTACAACATGACAAGCAAAAGTGATGCTATTTTTCCTACAGAAGGCCTTAGTGAGATGATGTCCTGGTTCTGAGCCATGAGCCATGAAAAGGTTATAGACCATCATGTCCCAAACTAATGTGTTTTAAAACACATTAATAGTTGCTGTACATAAAGAGATTACCATGCTCAAATAAATGTAGGAAACTCTATATCATCTAGTCTTTCTTTTTAGATATTGCAATATATATCAGCCTACTAAGGGCCCCAATAAGCCCTGAAATAATGTAAGTTGTTTTTAACTCTAAACCAATATATCTCAGCCTTTTTAAAACTGAGAACTCTCTTATTGGGGAACCCTTATTACCATCTTATGGAACAGCACTGTTCCTTGGATGCCAATAAAAGAAATGCTGTCAGAGCATCATAAACTCTTGGATTTGTGAGGGAATTTAGAGCTCATTTATTCCTACTCAATAAAGGAATCATTTCTACACTCTTCCTAATAAGTTGCTGTCCAATCTCTCTATTTAATCACCTCCCCTTATTAATTTATTCCTACTGTTGGACAGTTTAATTTTTAGAAGTGTTCCTTTTATTGAACCCAAAACAGACCTAAAATCGCAGGATGTACTGATTTTGCCATCAAATCTCCACCACCCGGTGTTTACTAAACCAGCTCCCCAAAGCCTCAACGAAAACCCCAGTCTCTTCCATTTGAGAGTCCTCTAAATGGTGAAGGCTGCCATCCTCCTCTCGGCCCTTTTCTTTTCTTTTCCTCCCTAGGCTAAACATCCTTAGTTGTTTCAATCATCCCTCTTACATGTTTACCAATTGGTCCCCACTGTTTGGGATCTAGCTTGATGGAACCCCATGGACAATTTGGTACAGAGCAAAGCAGAGCACTGCGGGTATGGTTTAACTAGAGGAGAGTGGGAGACCACCACCTTCTCATGCTGAAACTCCACTTCCTGTATCTCATCAATGTCTTTTGTGTGGCATTTTTCTCTTGACTCGTTGTTGGCCCTGTAGAGCTACCATCCTTTGCCTTTTTCACAAGTCCAGCAATTTAGCTGTAGAAACAAGCCTTCCTTGTCCAATCAAAATATAACCACAGTATACACGGACCTAAGAGCAGAGCCTTACAATGATCTCCAATAACAATGTCCCTTTTTGGATGTGGCTCACTGGTCCAGTCTGTAAAAATCATCTTGTATTCTGATTCCATCCCTACACACATTCACTCTACCTCCCAGTCTCCTCCCATCTGAAACATTAATCAGCTTCTATGTTTTAATCAAACAGTCTGTGAATATTCTGAATGGTACGGGTTAGGTACCAAGCCATAGGCTCTATCCTGGGTAACATCAAATTGTCAGTCAGTAGGTCCTTCCGATGCAGTCATCTAATCAGTTCCAAATCTTTCTATTTTCCTCCAGCTCACATTTCCCTTTTGGTCTGTAAGGACATGATGGGAGCCACTGTCAAAACATCTGGCTGAAATCTAAATAACAAAAATTTATTTTCTCCTTTGAGGTAATTATAGCTGAGGCTTGCATGAGCTAGGGCAGATGATAATACATTGGACCGTATTTTTAACTGATGAAAACCCAGCCCAAAAGGATATTTTCCAATGAATTCATCTCATTTTGAGGGGAAGTTTCTGTCTTCAATCTTGTGTCCATATTTTTATTACTGATGAAGACACAGAAGGCATGCTGTGTAAATTTGCATTTGACAACGTGAGGTATTAAGAACGAACCACAGAAGTGGTAACACTCTTTGACCCAGCAATCCCACTTTGAGTCTACTTTGAGAAAATAATCAGGAATGTGATCAAAGGTATATGTTTAAGGAGTCCATCAAGTCACTCTGTTGTGGTTAATATTTTAACCATAGAGATATGGTTCATTGAATTATGTGATAGAATAATATGAGGCCATTACAAATTAGGTTTTGGAAGATCATGCTCATAATATAATGCAAAGTATAAAGAAGAATCAACATGTATATATGAAGTATATGAGGTAGATGACAGCAATTTTATTATAAATATTTATTTATATATTTTAAATATATTTATTTCTAGAAAAAATTGTGGGAGAAAATATTAAAAATGGTAATAATGGTTATCCCTAAGTTATAAAAATTTGAGGTGACTCTAAATTTATTTATATTTTCTGTTCTGCCTCAACTTTCTGACATAGTGTGTTAACTGTATAATTAGAAAAAAAGCAAAGTATTTTTAAGTAAATGAAGATAGATATTTGGCTGGGCACGGTGGCTCATGCCTGTGATCCAGCACTCTGAAAGGCTGAGGTGGACGGATCACTTGAGGCCAGGAGCTCTTGACCAACCTGGCCAACACGGCGAAACCCTCTCTCTAGTAAAATCACAAAAATTAGCCAGGTGCGGTGGTGGGCACCTGTAGTCCCAGCTATTTGGGAGACTGGGCATGACAATCACTTGAACCCAGGAGGCAGAGATTACAGTGAGCCAAGATCACACCATCCTTCACTGCAGCCTGGGTGACAGAATGAGACTCTGTCTCAAAAAAAAAAAAAAAAAGTAAATGAAGATCAACATTTAAAAATTCTTTTAATCTGGGGTTGCTTTATTAAGGCTAAGAAAATAAAATTTAATGGGGATCATCTGAAGCTCCTTATTTGGGTTTCATCAACAAAATAAATGCAGGAGTGAGGAACTATGAGTCCGGCCTGGCGTCATGGAAGGGAGATGCAGTGGCCTTCACCAACAGTGCTCACCTACTGAGAACGGCCCTAGGCCTGGTCAACAGAACCATCTTGAATGAAAGTGCTCGTTGATGCTGCTTCTCTTTTCTGGTTAATAAGGATGCAGCTTCCTTACACTCTGAACATGGCTTTAAATATTGAATAGATAGACTGTAATCATGAGAGACAGAACACACACACATACATATACATGTTATGGACCTGGATCCTAACACTAACCTGAATCCTATATCATGTATATTTCTTACATAGGAAAAATGATCTCTCAGATTCCAGAAAAAAAAAAAACCTGGAAATTCAATTTTTTGAGAGAGTGACATAGAGGGTCTCTGGATTGGGGGAATGGAGGAACAGTTGAGGAAAGGGGTATCATACTGAAAACATGGAGATTAGGTCAAAGTTTATGTTCTGAAAGTTGAGGTCAAAGTTTATGTTCTGAAAGTTGAGGTCCTCTTACCCTTTCTTCCCTGTTAGGCACCAGACCTTCACCCTGCAGACAGGAATCTAGAAAGGGCTCTCTGGGGAATGTGAGTAGCACCATAGAGAAGACCCGGTGATCCTGATATTTCCAGAGAAAGTTAACCGCATAAAGACAGTCAAACCCACGCACGAACTGGGACACGGCGTCAGGAGAGACATACCTCTTCTCTAACCAGCAGAGCAGAGCACTGCAAAGGGACTCCCATCATCTTGTGTGGATTCCACGTCACAGAGTTGGCCCTAAAATAAACAAATCACGTAAGTGGTTGGCACTCCACCCTGACAGGCTCCGGGCACATGCAACCGAGCTTCAGTTTCTTGGTACTGTTTCTCAGAATCCAGATCGACACTAAATGTATGTATTTATTTTAATTCACAAAGTTAAACAGATTGAGGGGGTACAAGTGTAGATTTCCTATATGCCTATAGGGCGTAGTGGTGAAGTCTGGACTTTTGGTGTACCCAGCACCCAAATAGTGACCACTGTACCCAAGAGATAATTTTTCAACCCTCTCCCCCATCCCATGCTCCCACGACACTGTATTTAGTAAACACAAAGTAGACTCTTAAAGATGTGTCAAAGGAAAATATCTCGGACCCCCAAAATCACTAAGCTAAAGGGAAAAGTCAGGGTGGGAACTGCTTATGGCAAACCTGTCCTCCCATTCTATTCAGTCACCCCTCCCCTCTGCTCACTGAGATAAATGCATATCTGATTGCTTCCTTTGGAAAGGCAAATCAGAAACTCAAAAGAATGCAACCATTTGTCTCTTATCTACCCATGACCTGGAAGGCCCCTCCACACTTGGAGTTGTCCCGACTTTCCAGATCAAACCAGTGTTCATCTTACATATGTTGATCAATGTCTTATATCTCTCTACAATGCATAGAACCAAACTGTGCTCTGACCACCTGGTGCACATGTTGTCAGGACCACCTGAGGCTGTGTCACAGGCGTGAGTCCTCAACCCTGGCCAAATAAACTTTCAAAATTAACCGAGACCTATCTCAGTTTTTCGGAGTTCACACTGCAACTTTTCTTTGTCCACAGAAATAGCAGGTGAGGGTGTGGGTCTCCATGTGGCGTGCCCCAGCTCCAGTGGCGGCATGCACCCTGCCTCCACAGTGGTCTCAGGGCACAGCTTAGAGTCATTGGGATCATCCAGTCCAGAGTCTCTCCTTTGGCCAGTGATGGCCAGAGCACCTGGCCAGAGAGGACGGCTGCCTCCTGTACCTCTGTGGTCCTTGCTATCGCAGTGGCCTGGAACTCAAAGACAGGGCTCATTTCACTGCTTAACTCGATTTTTCCTTTCTAATCAATTGATGCCCAATTTCTCAAATACGTCCTTTCGTAGTAGCTTCCGGCGAGGCCCGTGCTTCCATCTGTTTCCTAATCCAGAGTTATTTTCTTTCCAGACTGCAGATGAGATGTGCTGTGGCTCCCACAGCAGGGGAGAGTTCCGTCTTTTGTTTGCCTCACACCTTGGGGAAATTTGATGCTCTCTCATCAGCAACAGTGGCTCACACAGCAGAGATTCCCTGCTCAGGAATTTACATGATTTCAAAAGTCTGGGCTGTAGTCCTGGTTCAGATTCCTTTAATAATAATTCTCATTATTTTAATCTGGATTCAGCAATTGTGTTGTAACTGACTCGGTCTCCATTTCATCCTTCACTTGGCACCAGAATTATTTTCGATCTCTGTTTATGGCCCTCTCCTTCTCCGAAATCACTGACAGTTTTCTTTCGCCTCCAGCCCAAATTCCAAACTGCAGGGTATGGCTCCCGCAGCCCTTGGGGCAAGCCCTAGCTACGCCTTAGGTCTTGTGTCCCTTGCTTTTGTTTATCCATTTCATCATGCCAGATTATCTTTTGTTCTCAGAGAATTCTATTATCATACTGCTGGGTCTCATTATGCTATTTCCTCTTCCTGGAACACCATCTCCCTTTGCTTCACTTTGTTGAATCTTGCTTAATTTTTTAAGGCCCCAGGTTCTTTCAGTATGATCTCTGTGGCCTTGTTTAACTTCTGCGACTTCTCTCCCGCACTTCCACTGTGCTCCTCTTTTGATTCTGGGAAAAGCAACTGCTCCCACTGTGAATGCCATGGCTCACTTCATACATTTACTGGGTAAGGTGAGCCTCTGTGCTTGTCTCCGGAGAGACGGAGGGGTCCTGGCAGTGGAGTTTCATGAGTGGCATAAAGGAGGAAGGCAAGTATTACAGTAGAATAACCCGTGGCAGTTGCCTCCAGACAGCCATGGATTGCAGCCCCATCTGGCCATACGACGGACGTGGGCTCACCCAGTTCCCACCTCTCTGGGTGTGACAGCCTTGGGAAAAAATGAGAAGCTGGGAAAGACCCCGTTCGTTCATTTGATGAAGGGCATGTGTCAGTCAGTCAGAGCGCTCACTGGCCTGGGGATCTTATCTGAGCCAACGAATAGTCTAGCTCAGCTTCTGGTCTTTCTCTGGCTCTGACACTGGTTGTCAGATACATTTATGACTGGAATTGAGGAACTAGAAGCAAAGGCAGTTCATGGTCAGATAACTACCCCTGGAGAGAAGACTAAATGACTTAATGAATAATAATAGCATTGAGGTACTGAAAGTTCCCTCCAAGAAAATATCTCCTTGCTCTGTAGAATGACCCTGGAGTCAGGACCCTAGGCTATAAAGCAGACATAATAGTTAAGGGGGAAGCTCTCAGGAGCCAGATAGTACGGGTTTTCATTCAGGTTTCATCACTTCCTAGCTGTGTGATTTTGAGCAAGTTACTTAACCTCTCTGTGTCTAGATTTCCTCATCTAGAAAAGGAGAATAGTAATAAATATTTAGGTAAAGCGCTTAGAACTGTGCTTAACAGGCAGTGAGCATTAAATAAGGTTGGCTTTTGCTATGGATTTGAAAGGACACAAAGATAGATGTGTACCTGCCCCCCACCTGCTACACCCTTGTTCTACTCTCTAATCTTTGCACATACCAGAGATTTCGTAAGTTCTGTGAGTACCTGGTTTTCTGCACGTACCAGAGATTTTGTTTTGCACATACCAGAGATTTTGTAAGTTCTGAGGCAAGGTCACAAGACGTGTTTAA